AAAAAAAAATGGAAACAAAGTCTATGTAAATAGGGAAGGGTGGAGGGGGTGAAGGGCGCACAGGTAATGAGGAAAAAATAAGAACCAAAATACATCATGTTCAGGTACAAACACCCAATGATAAGTGTAAATGTATTGTATACCTAAAATGTACAGATTAATATATAAATAAATAAAGTAAACAGACTTTCCCAGACAAAAACTGCAGAAATTTGTCAAAACTAGATCTACCTTATGAGTAATTTAAGGAGCATCTTCAATTTGAAATAAAATGAAAGTAGCACACAAACCAAAGACATATGAAGTAAAAGTGTCAATATAAATATACAGTGGTACCTCAGCTCACTAACTTAATTTTTTCCACAATTCTGGTCACAAACAGAACTGGAGGAGAACTGAATCAAATTTCCCCATAAAGTCAACATTAAACCTAACCCCTGAATTTGATTCAGTCCTTATTCACCTAGATTTGCAACCAGAATTGTGGAAAGAAGTTTATGAACTAAGGTACCACTGTATAGGCAAATACAGAATAAGATGATACTGAAAGCATAAAACATGATCATTTTTCATCCTGGAGTAAAAGTTAAAATATAAAGGTATTAATAATAGCTACAACCACAAAAATTAGTTAAGGGATACACAATATAAAAAGGAATAAATTTAGATACTACTATCATGAAGTATGAGTAAATGTATGAAAGTATAGATATTTGTGATCAATGTTAAGCTGCTATCAAGTCAAAATAGACTGTTGAAAATTAAGAAATGACATAAAATTATCATACTAACCACAAAGAAAAAATTACAGAAGAGACAAAAAAAGTAAAGAATCAAAGCATAACACTACCAAAAATCATCAGATTACAAAGGAAAACAACGAGAAAATTAATAGGAAGATATAATATTTATAAATAGAAATATATCCAACATTGTACCACATAAAAATGTAGAGAATATCAACAGAATGGGAGAAATAAACAGCAATGCATTGATTGATAGAAGGACTTGAAACAATGGGCAGATTGTCTAGACAGAAAATCGAGGAAACAGCAGATCCTAAAGACACCACAAAAACAACTAGAACTAATGAACAAACTCAGCAAAGCTGCAGGATACAAAAATCAATATGAAAAAAACTAGTTGCATTTTTGTACACTGACAGTTATCTGAAAAAAATTTAAATTTCATTTAAAATACTATCCAAAGGAATGCAATATTTAGGAATAAACTTAAGAAGGGAGGTGAAAGACTTGCACACTGGAAACTACACTAAAATACCTGGGAAAGAAAATGAAGCACATGCGCAAAAATGGAAAGACATCTTATGTTCATAGATTAAAAGAATCAATACTGTTAAAATGCCAGGACTACCCAAAGTGACAAATGTAATCACTATAAAAATCTTCAATGGCAGTTTTTACAGAAACAGAAAAAAAATCCTTGCTGGGTGATCTCTTGGGGAAAGTCCTTCTTGGGGCTCCCGGCCGCTCCCTTGCCCTGAGGCCCACGCACCCCGCATGGCATGGCTCAAAGCCCAGGCCTTCCCCAGAGCAGCTCTCTGTCCTCACACCAGCTCCCGCCTTCCGCCTTGTCAGAAGCGAGTCAGAGACCGGCCCTGAGCTCCTGACCATCTCGGAGCACAGGCCAAGGCCCGGTGTCTCCCTCCTTGCCTAGAGCTCTCCTTGCCTAGAGCTCTCCTTGCTTGCCTGGAGTTGTAGGGAACCTCGCCCTCCTCTCTAGTGGAGAAGGGACTGAAGGCTCGCGGCCTCCTGGCAGCCCTGCTCCAAAAAGTCTTTGCTCTCTCCAGTCTGCATCCATCAGCCTCCCCAGGACAGAACTGGGCCCCAGGAGGTGCCGGGCCCGGCAGAAATGCGTTCCTGTCTCCACAGAGCATTCTTCATGTAGCGGGAACTCTAGGGATGGCTGGATGTCCTCGACTTCCGAGGAAATAGGAAGAATCTCATTTAATGCCTTTTTAGATAAACCTTAGACAAATGATGGTTACATCACATATGTGTGCGTGTGTGGCTATAAACCTTATTGCCATCTTGCAGAACTCAGCTTGGGAAACCTAACCCTAAGAAATTCGTGGTTGACTTGCACCAGGTAGGAGTCAGCCTGGCTTCCTCTGGAGAACCACTCCTGCTGAGGCAGCCCTGAGCCGGGTGACTCCAAACCCCGGGATATTTTGCTGACATCAGACTCCAGGCTGCAGATCTGGCTTGTCCCCCCACATAGGGGACTGGAGTCGCACCCCTCAGCTCTGTTTGGCACCAACAGAACACAATCACAAGGCAGTCCTGAGCTTCCACCATGTTGGTGGATGGGGAACACAGCAAACCCCACTTTCCCATTTGGAGAAAGCACCGAGGACCCCAAACTCCCCATCGTGAGACTGATGAGCTTTCACCCTGAGACCTCACTGGTCCTCATGAGGTCTCTGGAATCACAGCAGACTTCCTTCCCTCGGCAGATGCACCAGAAGGAGGCTGCAGCCTGGGTCCCTCCATGCTCTGGCCAAGCGAGGTCCAGGCCGGAGTCAGGCTCACTGCCAGCCAGGTACCCAGACTGTACCTGTAAGCAGTGGCCCACCTATATTTATTTAAGTAAAGTTAATGTTTCCACCACACACGGGTGATAATCTTTATTAAAAATTATTCCTAAAATGTGTAAAAACCAGTGCCTGCCCCCCACTCCCAGAAGGCAGCTGGTGCAGGTCCTGAGCGCCCCTTCAGCGATCACCGTCATGCTGCACATGTGGCTCCGGCCGCCTCTAACACACGCTCCTCACAGCCCACACGCCCTGACAGCTGCCTCTCCAAGGGGCTCATCCACAACTGTCAGCAGAGGACGTCACTGCATCTTAGCCATCTGTGAGACAGGCCAACCTCTCCTCAAAAGAAATCTGGAGGACTCCAGGGACTCTCTGGAGGCGATTAAGAGAGAAACTTCGATGCAGATGGGAGCTGTGCGGCTTCTGCTCTGGCAAGTGTTCTGCTGGAGTCAGAGTGCGAATCAGAAAAGTGTCAAGGGAGCCGCTCGGGAAAGCAGTGACTCATCGTGGTCCAGGGCTCCACCATCTGCAGGAAGCTGGATCAGGAAGGGCCTCGCTGGACCAACCCACACCAGCGCCTCAAAGCCAAGGACAGCATCATACCCAAACATTGCTTTAAAGTCAACTGAAAGTCAAGCTTTAAAAGTCGCAGGAGGGCCAGGGATTTAGCTCAGTAGTTCTGCTGCCTGCCTCGAAACCTCAGGGTCCCGAGTTCAATCCCCGGTACCAAAAAAAAAAAAAGTAGCAGGAGGCGTTTTGCAAACCTAATTAGTCTCCTCTGAGAGGCTCTGGGGCTTTGCGCAACAGCACCATGGCCTGCATTTGGCAGGCAGGAAGGAGGGGGAGGTAGAGGGAGAACCCACCAGCGAGCTTCCAGTGAGCAGAAAGCCAGCTGTGAGGGGTACCGGGGAGGGCAGACGCCCCTGACTCCCACCGCCTGCTGGAGGGTGGGGTGCAGTCCAGGGATGGCCGGCAGGAGGCCCAGACTCCACAGGAAGCCTTGTGCACACTGCGCCTTCCCACCCCTTCCCTGGAGGACCTCAGAGAGGGCCTTCCTCCTCTCCCTTCTCTTCCTCCTCCTTCTTCTCTTCCTTCTCCTCTTCCTTCTCCCCTCCCTCCTCCTCTTCCCCTTCCTCCTCTTTTTCCTATTCCCGCCCCTCCTCCTCTTCCTCTTCCTCCTCCCCCTCCTTATCCTCCACCTCCTCCTCCCTCTATCCAAGAAGGTCTGCAGGGGCTCACACTTGCCAGTTCCTTTTGTGAGTAAACTGTGAGCCTAGAGCTCCAAGTGACTGGATGAACTCCAGCCAGACAGAGGTCCTCTGGCCAAGGGCAGTGGTGCCCAGTGACAATCCTCTCCAAGCGTCCCTCAGCTCCTGTCTCCATGATCAAAGTGCTTGGGGCAGATTTCACGCCATGACTGATGCGTTGAACACCATGTTTAAACACAAGGCAGAATTTATAATAAACCATGCTGAAGAACTCATGAGCATTGCTTACCTTATCCAGAATGGAAACCACACTTACTCACAAACATTCCTGAGTCAGTCGCTTATCTGAGGGTGGCCCTCGTGCAAAGCAGGTGGTTTGCACAAAAGGGATGGAGCTGAAGAAGACCTGGGCACTGTGGAAAGAAACCCCAGGGGATGGGACGCACCCTGGGCCTGCAGCAGTGCCGAGCTTTTCTGTTGCTGCGGCAGGAGCTGTGGCTCCAGAGGATGTGGCCTTCTGGTTGGAGCTGTGCCTTTCACAGGAGAAAGCAGCCATCGCCAAACTGGGGCCCAGAAGGGACTCAGGGAACAGAGAAGCACTCTCCCTTCTGTCTCCTGGGCCTCCAGTGACTCACTGGCCGAAGCCAACAGGAATCCAGCAATCATTGGAAGTTCACCTCACGGTGCGCAGAGGGATGACGTACAAAGTCGGGAGTGGACCTGAAAAGCACAGAGTGCAGCACAACACACCCAGCACACCCACACCCACGCGTGCACACACACACACACACACGCATGCACACACTACTCTTGCTGCACTAGGCTTTGGATGGGACACTCATGTCCTCACCACAGGAGCCCAGTGAATTCCAGAAGCTCTGTATCAACGCAACAATGTCAATGTGTCACAGTCCCACCTGACTCCTAAAACACAGCACCATGGACCCTTGCAAGGAAGTAATCTCATCACCTTGCTGAGGCTCTTTGCACTTCCGCAGAACATGCCGATCATCACAGCTTCCTTCCTCTGCCACTGTGCTCCGCTTCCTCTCAGCAGAGCCCCCTGCACCCTCTTTGCCAGATGGAACGACAGCCTTGTCTCTCTGGGACTTTGGTCACCAGCCTGTCTCTACTGAGCTGCCGCAGTTTCTGTCACCTTGGACTCTTGGGCAGGGATGAGCCAGGCACTGCGGGCTCACATCTCCTGCTTCAATTCTTTCACCCAAAATAAATCCCTTTAGGTAGGCTGCTTCTACAGCAGTCCTAGTGATCTCTACCTTGGTACTCATGCCCCTGAGTGGGTGGGTGAGTGAGTGTGTGGGTGCACACGTGTGTATGCATGAGAGCTGATCTCATGACTGCTTCCCAATGTAGAGGATGTGACAGAAACACAGGCACGTTACCTCCAAGGTTGGATTGTTACCTACCGTGATGCCTACCAGAGAGAAATCTGGCTCTGCAGTGAACCTCCTGATGAAGCACTGTGCAGAGCACTGTAAAGAAGGCCACCCCCAAGCCCCAGTGAGGAAGCGGGGTCCCCAGCAGCCATCACAGAAATAAACGCTGCTGACAGCCGCTTGCACAAACTTAGAAGAGACCTTCTCACCTGGAGCCTTCTGAGGAGGCCGCACCCATCAACCCTGAGAAAAGACGAGGACACAGCACGGAGGCCCTGAAACACCGCTTTCCATTCCCAGGACTTGCCAGGCCGAGGGGGCCTTGCCAGTGGACAGGGACCAGGATGTCCTAGAAGAGCTACCCAAGGGACTCTGGGAACAGGCAGAGCTGTGCTACCTGGGAGCTGCCTTCCTGCCTGCAATCCCATCATAGGTCATGCAGCAGGTCACAGAGAGCCACTGCTGGGGGCTGATGTCACGCAGGCCTGACATCCTGCAGCCTGGGGCCTCACCAGGGCGTGTTCTTCCCCTGGAGCCTAAGTGGCTCTTCAAAGGGCAGTCATCAGCTTCCCACGACACTTCTCTTCAGCCATGGGGCCCAGTAGGTGCCAATCCATTGGTCTATCTCTTTTACCGTAAAATAAGTTCCTTGGTCAGCCCATGCAGTACAGGACACCCCAGCAATGGATCACACATGGTCTGCGACTGAGGCCCCAGCTGAAGCACTGTGAGGAGCAGAGAAGGCAAGTTTATACTTAGAATCGCTCTGCCTGTCCATCTGCACAAACATGCATATTCCCTCAAAGATGAACTGCTGCTTGCTGCCCAAAGAAAGAAGTCTAATATCCACCCTACATTCGGTGAGGCCTTGTCCCTGAAGGAAGTGGAATATCCGAGTTTTGCCAGTGGCCTTCGTCAGTTGGGGCCTCAGCAGCAGCTGTAACAGAATAAGCCTTCGGACAAGGCAGCCCTTGTTGCTGAGCTTAAACCTCCAGAATATGAAGATGCTCCCCTAGCAGTGTGCTCTGCCCTTCCGGTGGGAAGCACAAGACACAGCTACCTGTGTCTCACTCTCAAGACTCTTACCCCAGAGAAAATTTACCAAGATGCAACGACCCTAAACGTTCACTCTTTTGCTCATCCTCTGGCGTTCACAGGTCTCATAAGATGCATTCATTGTTCAGTGCTTGGCCCACTGAGCCCAATTAGCATCATGTGCTTAGTTTAATGGACTGGCGTGATCTTCCATGGGATATCATGATACCCAAATTCCTACATGACAATGTTTTGACATTAAATGGGAGAGCTGACATAGTCCTGCGGTGAGAAAATAAACTCCTATCCTGGCCACTGAAGGCAAATTGCCTCTGTTACCTTAATCAATGGGTACTGAAGAGAGCAAGAATAAAGTGTTCGCTGGGTCAGTAGCTGCACACTAGACACCAAAGACTTCACTGATCTGATTCAATAAACATTCCCCAACTTCAGCCACACCTGCTGTTGGAGTCCCTACCTATGTTTGTGATAATCCACAGCCAGCCTATGAGGCTATAGACAAAGAGTCATATTAAACATGGGATAATCACCCCTGAGGCGTTCAGGTCTCTTATGGTGGCATTTATTCTAAAATCCCTCCTTGGATTTTAATATTGCTTCTCTATTTGGAAAAAGCACTGGGTAATTTCTTTCTATCAAAATACCCCTCATTAGAGGGTCAGTGAATCCCAGAAGATTCCGTCATCACTAAGTATGTCTATTCCCAATGCTACTCCCAACCTTCTGTTGCTGAGTAACAAGTCACTATAAATTTAGCAGCTTAAACAATGTCTGTTTGTTATCACAGCTCTGGAGACAGGAATCCAGGCAGGCTGTGTTCTTGAGGTCTCATGAGCTCAGAATCACCATGTCACCTGAGCTGGGCTCTCATCCAGAGCCTGAAGAAGAGTCCGCTTCCAAGCTGGTTCAGGGTGTAGGCGGAATTCAGCTCTTGGCAACTGGGGCCGTGAGTTTTCCTTTCTTGTCATCCAGGGTGCTGCTGTCAACTTCTCAAGACCACCTACAACCTGAGGCGCCTGTCCCTCTCTGTCTTCAAAGCCAGCAATGACATCTGAAACCCCCGACACACACACACACACACACACACACACACACACACACACACACAAGATTTACTTTTCTGCCAGCAGCCAGAATAAAGGCGCTCAGATTTTAAAGGGCTCATGTGATTAGATTAGCATCACCTAGACGATTTCCTTTGCATCACATGGCACAGACTCATCATGTGTCAGGTTGCCTCACTGACAGGTTTCACACTCAAGGGGAGGAAATTACACAAAGGCAAGAGTCACTGGAGTCATTCCTGGATTTCTACCTACCGTATCCGTTTACCATATGGCAATCTTGGCAAATGTCTCAGCCCCCGTAGACAGATCCGTTCATCACCTGACTTCCACAGCCCCTGCTCTGAAGGACTGGACCCTGTGACACTGCAAAGTGAGCTTCAGTTCAGAGCCACTGCCTCAAAAGCTTCTCCACCACCGGCTCACAGTCATCCTGACAAATGGCAGCAAGTCTTTGAGAGAGAGGCTTGGAGGACATTTGCCACATGAGCCGTTTGAGGACCCTTTCTCAAAGGGACTTGGCCTCCCTGTGGGCTCTGGATGGATGACCATAAACTCTGGAGCCGGAAATGAGGCCATGAATCCTCACTATGGCACTACGGGTTCACAACCACAGGGTTAAGACTTTCCTGCTTCCATGTGAAGCGTCTTGTAGGGCTACACACCTCTCACGACTCGGGACTCTCTGGTCTGTGAACCCTCAACGCAGTTTCCTTGGGTCAAACACTGATCGCGGCTCTGTTCTTGGGGCTTCGCTTAGTAATTGCACCTGCTTGTCTGTGGCAACTGCCTGACGACGCCAGGCCTCTGCAGTGCCCAGCTGAGCTCAGTGCCTCCCCACCGTCCCGGGCTTACAGAGCCAGCCTCCACAGGGCTGCTCAGGGACTCTTTCCTTGTGCCAGGCAGTCTCTAGAGCACCAGCATTCTAGAATCTTTGACAATAGGGTGCTGTAGATTCCAGGCTTTAATCATCCACTCTAGTAGACCATTCATGTCATTCTCAGCTGCTTTTGGAAACACATTAAATCTCAAATCCTAGATGATCATTTCCCAATTTGATCTTCTATTTTTTTAAGAAAATATAGAATTAAGCGCAAGGACCTGAGTTCGACTCCTGGTACCAAAAATAAATAAATAAAATAAATGAATGAATGAATAAATAAATAAATAAATAAGAAAGAAAATATAGAATTTATTAGACACTGAATAGAAAAATAAAATCATTTAAAAAGAGACCCAGAGAGCTCCCCTGATCCCTCCAGGCACCTCTCTGCCCTCCACTCCAACCCCAATAAAAGCATTATTTTATATACACAATGGCTAGCAAACGTTAAAAAGATGACAGATGCTCAGCTTAAAGATGGCGCGTGTGTGGTCACAGCAGGAGGGCTGGGGCAGCAGTTCTCAGATGACCTCCTCTCCTGGGAAGTGACCGAGACTCACACTCGGGAGACCGAAAGCTGAGAGTCCAGGACACCAACATGGAGCCCACAGCCCTGGCCACTCCACATGGCCTGGGGACACAGGGGAAGGGTGCTCCCTGGAGCACTGTCCTGGGGGAGGGAGATGTTGGCCACCTGGGTGCTCCCCGAGCGGACAGAGGAATAAACAAAGGAGATGCACTGGGAAAATAGCAGCAGTGAGCAGCAGCCAGCTAGTTGCCTAAATGGCAACATGAATGGGTCCTACAAATAGTGCTGGTGAGGAAGAGGAGGATAGAAGCAGGAAGATAGAAACAGCTGTGCAGTGCAATGCCATCCTGGCGTGTTAGATGCCCGTGTGTCAGCCAGGCTTCTCCACAGAAATAGAGCCAGTGGCTGTCCAATCTACCTATCCATCCAGCATCTACCTATCTATCATTTATCAATCATATCTATTATGTATCATCTATCAGTCATTTCTTTTTTTTTTTCTTTTTTCGCCCCATTAAGTTTATTGGTCCATTTTCAGTATAAAATACAGTTACATTCATCATTGGGATCTTGCACCTGTACACGATGTAGCTTGGTTCTTTTTTTTTTTTTTTTT